GAATAGATTAAGTTAAAGATTCCTTGAGATATTTTGATAGAATATATATATACCTTAAAGTATAAAGAATTATGATTCTTTAAAGAGAAGGAACCAAGTATATATATAACATACTCTATGAAGATATACGAAACATATAGATATATGCAACACATTTATAGGTATATTTGAGGATAATTTAAAACCCTGCAAGCTCTAGTTAAGTAAACAGCACAAAAGTATGCTTTAGAATTTTCGTATATTCTATATAGCTAGTATTCTATATAGATAGATATACTATAGAATTTATCTAGCTTTTGTAAATTCTTCATATTGAAAGCTATGAAAATATATTTATTATTTACTCTAAAGCACCTCATCAATTTTTCATCTTCTACTCGAAAACCTTATCAAGTTTCGACTTTTGAACAAACATTTGAAATGCTTCGAGCAGCAGTGTTGATAAGCAGTGTTGTTAAATCAATTATTAAATAGTAGTCTAACCTAAAAAGCTTATCAAGTGCGTGTGCATGTACATATATGTATATATGGACATACGATAGACTATATACATATATGATGTATTAAAAAAGTGATATTGAAGCCCAGAGTGGCGCCTCGACTTTGTTTTGCTTTGATTGTTCTATGTTTTTGTTTGTTTCGCAAGATTATTCTACTATTATTATTTACGCGCAATGTTCACGAGATTAGCATATAGAATTGGAACGTGTGAGTTGCGGGCTCTGTGTGTGTGTGTGTATATATAAGAAATATTGTGATAATCGTGCCTCGAGAAGTGCCTATACTTAACATAATTATCATTGTCTCTGCCAGAGCCTGTTGTGTCTGCTTATCAGTATATACAATATACTACTCTCTAATGATAGTCCACCATGGTGTGCCTTAGCTGACCAAAAAAATATAGACTACATATAGAAAAACTCTTAATGCGCAAAAAAGATGACGTCATCAACAGCTTCGCCTTGCTGATTGATAAGTGTAAAAAATTTAAACAAAATAAACAATATACATACATATATATATGTATACAGTATAAGTACATTAAGTGTATACAAATTTGCGAATAAAGAAAGCATTGTTTTTGAGGAAACCAACGCCAGACACTTCCGCCCACTTGAAGGGCGTGTGCATGTGTATTTGCATTATTGTTTTCGCTGTTCCTGAATTTGTAAAACAGGAAAAATGTCATATATCATATATTTCTTGCCAGCTGTAAATAAATTACTCCATAAAAGAAAAGAATTATAAATGAGCGAATATTTGTAGATAGCAAGTGACATTAAAAAATATTTCGCATATGCAGAAGTATTTAAAAACTGAACGAAACAGACGTACGAAATTTCCCCACAGCTCATTACTCATGCAAAGAAATTCTTTTCGATTGGGAATTACGGAGGAATTAAAGACTTCAGATATGGACTGTTAATAGATATGATAAGAATTCAGAAAGCTAATTTACAAATTGAAAGCAAATGGGCTGATGGAAATTTATCGGGAATTCGATTAGCATATAGATTGAGAGTTATAAATGGAAATTATTCCAGAGTTTTCTGCGAAAAAATTCAGAAATTGATTTCTATATAGTAAATATATCTCTATTTTACTATATATGCATATCTATCTATAGAGAGTAATCTATATACTTTTCTTAAGCACTTCATCTTTATCTTATCTTGAAATGTATAGTATAAATGCTAACTTTACTACTTTCTTATCTGTCTATACTATAGCTAAACGCAGATTTTGTATAATATACTATAAAGTTAGTTATATCTTATCTGCAAATACTATAAGCAGTTCCTGTCGGAAGTTAAGAGCTGCTAACCAAATTTAATATTGTCTTTAGAAAATAAATATAGAAATTTAGCCACAGAAATTCCTTTATAATTATAATTAGATATTTGACTAAATTGGTGGATTTATTTAAGCTTCCAGGCTTTAAAAACAATTTGCCGGAAATTTAAAACCATTTAATGGTATTTTTAGAAGCATATCTTTCATATCTATTGTGGAATGCAAATATTCATAGATAGTACTACTATATGGATTTCTTTTAATTTACTATACCTAAGCAATAATATAACTGTAGATTCTTGAATACTTGATAGCAAATATAATCAGATAAGCTATCTCTAAAAGTTTTGATTCTTTCACTTGAAGCTAATACGAATTTAATTTGAGAAATGCTCTTCAGTCTGTTATATAAAGCAAACTTCTTATATATAAGTTACATATTGACTTTCATAAGCATTTTATAGCACTTGAATACTTCAAATTATCTAATCAGAATACCTTATCTGAAAAGCTCTTTAAATATCTTTGCCTACTCCTTTACCAACTTTCATATTTCTATATGCATATTTATATTTTTTATTTATTTTTATTATTACTTTTTTTGCGCCCATATCATTTCTATTTTTAAAGTTATTTTTATAGCACCCGAAATGCCTATCCAACATAAAATAATATCACTTAACTCAAAGTCGCCAACAGCAAAAATCATGCCTAATTCGATGACTTTCACTTTCGCTTTGATCGAATACATATAATTATAATTATTTATAATAAAATGTAATGAATTGAAAAAAAATATTGTTTTCGCCATATCATGGACACAAAAAAAAATGTACTTGAAGTGATTATGCTGTCTGTGTGTGAGTGAGTGTGTGTGTGTGTTTGTGTGGGTGTATGTTCGTGTGCTTTGTGATGTTGATTATTATTATTATTATATTTTTGCTTTGGCAAACAATTTATGGCATTTATTCGAGAGCCGCCGTCGCACACACACACACACACACACACACACACATTTAAGAAAAGGTCTGCCATTTTGTAAACAACAAAATTTGCTGATAAGCCCAGCACTCATAAAAAATAAAGCAAAAAATAAAATGCTTTAAAAAAATTGTTTTTTTTACATTGGTTTTTTTTTTTACCAAGGTCAACAGTAATCGCAGCAATAATAATATCAGAATAAGAAGAAGCAGTAGAAACAGCAATCGCTGCTGTAGCACTCATAAATCCTGTTTCATGCTTTTCTTTATTTTCTTTTTAAAAAAAAGTGAAACAAATGGAAAACTTACTTTCACATGTGCAAGACTGAAGAAACTTCTCGGGCAAATAGAAAGGCGCTCACAGAATCGACTTTGGGCTTTTTATCTCACTTTGCCCGAAAGAAAGTGCAGACGGCAATTGAATTGACCCAATTGTCCCACAATGGTCAACGACAGCGTCGGCTTCTGTTTCTGTTTCTGCATCGGCTTCGGTTAGATTTGATTTCAAAAGGAAAAGTTGATTGACTGTCGCAGCACAACTGCTGCAATCAACTTTAGGCGTAGCTATAGCTGCATGCAACATGTAGGCAGAACCCAATATGTGCCAAGCCAAATTTAGTCAGATCCGTTGTGAATGAGGCAAAAGCAGTTAGAAGACCACAAAGCAATGCTAAATTTATGATTGATTGATTGATCAGCTGACAACAATAGAAATCGCTGAAAGACTTTGAAAGTTCTTTGTATTAAACTAAAGAAAGATAGCTGCCAAAAGTAGCGTGAAATCTCAAGATTGACCTTGAATGACTGATTGCTTGAAGAAGTATGAATATTGTGTCCTATATATCTAAGAGCTAGAAAGCTGAAGATTTAGTGTATGTAGTTAGGAAACTAAATTGCAAATAAAGATTCAGCTGAGATTCATTTCAAGTCTAAAGAGAAGAGAACTCAGCCAGAAATTGTTTACGGAACTATGGTATTCGACCTAATTCTCTATCAGACTTTATAGAAACAGACTTTTCTAAAGATTTGAAACAGAGAACTGAATATGAACGACAGCTACGTTAATAAATTGATTTATTATCAACTTTAACTTTAGTAGAACTCAAGATTGAGACGTTTTCGATGGCCTAATTGGCACTCATAAAGTCAAATTGCTCGAGAATATCATAAAAATTCCACAAACACCTATTGATAGCATTTGGCATTTGGTGAATGAATTTGTTGCGCATCGATAGCAGGAACTTAAATGGAATTTAGTCATGCACAAGCCCCAGAAGCCCTGAGTCTGATATAATATATAACAATGCACAGCAGCATATAACATAATCCAATCATAAAAGTAAACTCAATTCAGTTACATAATATCTTATGTAACAATATATAACATACAAAGCGCTTGTATAACAGCTCAAATAGTGCAGTTGCCAGGGGTTCAAATGAAAGAGCGACCAAGAATAACAGCTAAACAATCAAGGCTATATATAAAATATATGTATATATAAATCATATTTACAGCAACATGTTTGCGTGGGAGTGCGGGAAATTCAGCTCAATCAAAAGCCGCCCACAACAGCTGCTGGCACGCAGTTCAATTGTTGCATGGGATACATATTTTAACAAAGAGTTTGCAAGCAGAAAAAAAAGAGAAGAAAACAAAAAATACATAATAATCAATTGTTGTCTTCTGCTTCTTCTTCTTCTTCTTTTCACTTTATTTTTGCTTTGAGCTGCTCTTTTAATTGGGTCTAAAAATAGCTGCGTACTTGTCCATTGATATGTACACAAGAAATCCACAAGAGCGCGTCGCATCCAATTCAATTGAACTAAATTTGCAGACAATGAGAAGCGCAGAGAAGAGCGATTGAGCGCGTGCGTGAGGTCTTTGGCCACCACACTCAAGTGTTGTACAATCGATTTTTTTTATTGTTGTTGGCGTTTGGAGTGTTTGCCTTACCGATAAGTGCGCACAAAATGTATAATTTTATAGATTTTCGATCAGCTTGAGAGCTGATCTGAAATCTACAATTGAGTTTCAGAATAACAATAATTGTGATGTCATTTTCACGGTCCCCGCCACAGAAGACTTTGATAAGCCACATCAAAACAACCTCAACGATTGCGTGTGCTTATCAATCGGGACAAAAACATCGCCTACTTAAACAAATTATAATTAAAGACAAGGATTTGCGACTCTATAAATAGAGCCGACGCACGTATGCCACTTACCATAGCCTGTTCGATTTTGTTGTCAATCGCAACCGCGCTTGTTCCAGATGCACTGCAAAAAAAATTACAGATAAATTAGGATTATTAAATAATTTAATAGAAGAGTTAAAATTAAAAATAAAATTGTGTAATATTAAAAAAAAAAAAAAAAAAAATGTACATAAATCTAGAAATAATCTACATATAAATATAATTTTTTTCGAATTTTTCAACTCCGTATAACATATTAAAACTGTTATACTCATTGACCGAATAATTATTTTAACGGCTACCCTTGCAAATTATTTTTTTTTTTATAATTTATAATATTTAATTTCCTCTTTTATCTTCAAATCAAACGTCAACAATTAAAAACAAATCACGTGATTTGGGATGTGGATTTCATTTATATGGCAGAAATATCCGCGGGCTACATAAATTTATGGCATATTTCATATGACCTTGTGCGTATTGAGGTCAATATAAAAGACAATAAAACTTCCTACTGAAACGACTTTTGGCCCAGTGGGAAAAATAAAAGCGCCGACATGCCAAAGCGCAATGTCAAATACTCAATTAAATTGTCAGTTTTTCGCAAAAAAATAAAAAACAAATATAAAAATATGCCAAATTGTTTTTGTGAAAGATACAACTGAGATCTATCAAATAGATCGCCCCCATCAAATGTTGCCACACAAAAGACTCTTTAATGCGTTTGGCTCATTATAGTGATTAAATGAATGTACTCTATTCAAAATCCCCGCCGATGCCCCCTTAACGGTCTGTCAATTCCAATTGCAAATGGTTTAACATGTCAGTGGAGCAGCTGGAAATAAATACATATAAGTATATATTTCCTTAATTATTGAGTGACCAAACAAATTGCATATGAAAGCATTGTCCGAGTCGGCTTTTAATTATGCAACACTGGCAAAAAAAAAAAAAAAGAAATAACTAGAAAACAAGAAATAGCCAACTCTGCAATTTGTATACGAGTTACATAAAAGCTAAAACTCGAATTCAATTTGAATGATTAAAAGAGGTGGAGTGTGTGTGAGAGAGAGAGAGAGAGATAGATAGAGAGACAGAATTCAAATCTAACTTAACAGTTTCTAACTTAAACGTTCTCAACACTCGCTCCGATTCGTGTTCACCTTGAGCAAATGTTTTGGGCCAACTGGTTTTTCACACAGCTCCATACCGAAATGAAACAATCAATTCAAGCAAACAAAAATCTCAAGGACTTTTAGCAATTAGCGAACGCGTTAATAATCAAATATTCTTGATTTGAATTTACTTAACATATCTAGCATTGAGTGCGTTGAACCAATGCAGGCGAGTTTTATGGGTTATAGATCAGGGTCTAGCTGGGAATAATGATAGAGCGCGCCTTTAGAATTCGCAAGCGAATGATGATAAAATTGCATACATTTAGACGAGAGTTAATTGAAAAATTGCTGAAGTGATGAGAACTATATATATTACTTAGATTTTGCTTTTGATATCAAGTTATTTTATTCTGCATTTGTATATGTTCAACAATTTTTTAAACCACCCTCGCTGTGGCTAAACGTCTTAACGTTAAATGTGTTGCGCTCTTTCGCACATCATCGTCACTTATCGAAATTGGCAGTAGTTAAGTGTGTCATCAATAAGATGGCTCCACGTGATATGAGGGTAGAAAATCGACGATGAGTCAAAATCTATTATTGGAAAATTCTCGCTTGCATGGCAACTTTTTGCAACTATTTTTTTTTTTTTTTTTTTTTGCTCATTGTGGCAAGTCAAAGGTAAACTCACATTCCCCATTTGATGAAATAATTTTGGTGTGAGCCTAATGAGTAAAGGGAAAGCAATTTTATGAATGAACTACTGCTTTGGGGGAAACCCAAAGGAAATATGATTGAACTTTGTGAAAGTTTTGGTAACACATGATTTTTAAGGTAACATAAAGTGTGATTTATTATTACCATTACCATGCTATATGTATATCTAGTAATTTTTGTAGCCCAGGGTTCAACTTTTCTTTTTATTATAATCATAAATTTAAGACTACATATAGGTATATATAATACTTGTATACAAATTTCCCCAAGTTTTAAGCTTCAACATCATTTCTCTTATAGGCTTAAATTATTAACTGCATTTATAAAATGAAAGGAAAATGCCCATAATTTTCCTTGCCAACTCAAATTGACGTATTTAAATGCAATTTCCACAAATTTTCCGTAAATTTGTGCATTGTTGTTAAATACAAAAAATAAATGTACAGGCTATGAAAATAACTTTAAAAATAACTTGATTACTCTTATTTATGCGCGCAGTCATTGAGTGATATAATAAAGAATGCGCCTTTATGCTGTTGAGGCATGCAAAATAATTAAAGACGGGTCTCGACAATAAAATGAGACCAGATTAATGATGATTGAATACACATAGTATATATATTTTCCTTCTTCATTTGTTTCTTTCCTGTTCTTAATGGCTTACTCAAGTCCGGCTGAGACGCGGCTCGAGTTCCACGACATCGACAAGGACGAAAGGCGAGAGTTTCTTCACCGTCCGGCGACTGCCCTTGTAGGACTCACTCACAGATGTACCCAAGATTTTGCACAACAAACAAAAAGGCAACAACAATAATATAATCATAAACGACAGGCGCGAGTAAAAGTAAAAGTCTCTGCCTGGACGACCCCTCACGTTGAGTGCACTGACTCACGCGCACGCCGTGACTTTTGTTCTCTTTCTTTCAGTAAGCGCCAATAAAGTATATAAACACATATATACATATGTATATATATGTGTATATAGTATATAGTATTTGCTGCTGTGTGCGTGCATTCCCAATGTCAATGCGGGCAACGGTCAATGGCTTTGCACATCGCATTTGATATAAACGAAAAGCAGAAAATACGAAACTTTTTGCTCAATAACTAAAACAAACACAGTTACAGAATAATCTTCACAAAGAGCATACATAAATACGTATGTGTATATACGATTGAGCTATTATACGAGGGATTTTCCAGCACGCAGTATACATTGTAATTAATTCGGTTTATCCATATAGTAAAGTTCGAACCGCATTGATACTCAATATATATTTTGTTAAAATACTTCATTTTTACAGACAGGGCATACTCTTAATAAAATGAATAAATAATACTCAAACCTCCCTAAGATTGTATATTTTAAACTCATCATCAATAGTTCGATATTTATCGTTTATCGAGATTTGGCTTTCATCAAAATGCTCCATCCGTGGAACCCTCACTGATGGCATTTGCCTTTTGCATTCAAATATTTTATAATACTTTCATAAATGTCTATAAATATAGAAATACTAGACGTCACCTGCCTACCATAATATATGCTCTACTCTTTGTCACCTATGTACACATTGAAATGGAAATCAAAATCTTATCAATTATAACCGCTTTTAGCCGGCTAATCTGTCCGTCAATCGAAACTATGGAACACTGATACAGCTAGGTGTTGTTGAAAACGTCAACTCCGATCATTAACACCGAAACATTAGGGGTATCGCAGCTATTAAGTTAACGTGTTATCAACACACGCTTGCGAATAATTAAAACCTGGCGCTGACGTCACACGCCAATGCGACAGACAGCAGAGCGCAGCGTGAACAAGAGGGAAACACACACACGACAGAGAAAACAAATAAAGAAAAGAAAAGAAAAGAAAAGCAACGAAAAGAAGTGCAAAGTTTATTAAAGTTCAAGCGCTGCCCATTTCGACGCATTAACAAACAAATGATGTCATCCAATATTTTTTATTTCCCCCCCTATTTCTTATTTGGGTTTACAGCTTTAATTTAAATTTGATTTTATACACATGTTTTTTTTTTTGGTGTTGCGGCACGTTTGCTATGTAGTTGAGCGTTCAAATCACGTGATACAAAATGTTTTGTATCGTTTTTCAGCAAGTTAAATGTGTCAAAGACAATGAGTAAGATCGATGGAAGTCGAAACTGAAATACACTAAAAAAAATAAAGCATAGGGAATGCTAATTGATACGTTAATTAAGAAGTGTTATATGATTTATATTATAAATCAGTATCGTTTCGCTTAGCATGTATTAAATGAAAAGCTAGTTTAATTATCATTTAAAATTGGATTAACAGCTTAAAGCATTTTGTGTATTCATTTCCATTTTTATATGCCATATAAAGCTCAGGTTACAATAGAACACACTCAAGATTTGCTAATATAACAGCCGTCTTATGTAACACTCCAATACAATGTTCTCTGTCTCTCCCTCTCTCTCTCTCTTATACGTCTCTATACGTACGTAATAATATGTGAAGCTCAACCACAATTAATAGACGTGCCAATTTCTGATTTAAAGTTTTCAGTTTTTCAGTTTTCAGTTTATCAGTTTTTAGTGTTTTGCTATTTTATCGAGTGCAGCAGCAATGAGCACATCAAATTACACGCCAATTGCTAGACAAATGAATCGAATCGTTTGAACTGGCCCATTGCCAACTGTTTTAGTTAGTGTTAGTTCGCACTACCAAATGCGCCACTCGACTGCGTGTCGCTGCACTTTGGCATTTCGTTTGGACTCTGCTATTTCAGGCGAAATTCCAATTCAAATATCTCAGATAAACAAATCACGCAGGTCTCAATGATTTCACAATTTGCCAAAAATTCTTGCAACTACAATAACATCATTTGGCTGGCCAATCCGATTTGCCTTTTGGGATTCTATTTCCGTTTTCATTTACAGCTTATGCGGCAAATTTTGGCATTTAGCTGAGTTGGCATAAAGCAAAACAATGGAAATAACTTGTTGTTGAATAATTGAAGTGGCCAACGATTTTGCTGATGGCAGCAACAAAAACTGAGGCAAATTACATGCAGAGATAAGCAGATATGCACAACTACTGCTTACAGTGTTGTAAAACGACACAAAGAGAACATTTTTAAATATAAGTAAACATTAAATATTAAATGTTTATTCTCTAGCATAAAAAACGAGTATACCCTTTCTCACAACAGTAAGAGACATAATAAAGAATGTGAAGAGTCAGCATATACATCATTTTGTTT